TGGAGCATGAGGAAATGAAGATCTTGGTACAGATTCAGACTGCTTATTTGAAATATGAAAAATATGCCACTGGCTTTGGCAGATGATGTGCTGCTTTAACTGTTGAAAGTTTATCCCCTAACCTGTCAGTATCTTGGATATATGGCCTGTCTGTCTGTCTGCGAGCCAACAATGATTAAATGATAAATGGTAAATGGACTGATTCTTATATAGCGCTTTTCTACTCAAAGCGCTCTGTCATGTCATAACATGTCATAGTTTCAGGTTTCTGCAGTGTATTTGTTCTGTTTGATCCTTGTTACATTGGCTGTGTTTATGGTTTTTCCAGCCTCCGGCCTGAACGTTTGTCTTCATGTGTTAGTTTTTCATGTTTTTGTCATTTCCTGTTTTAGTCTGTAGGTTCGGTTTTTTTCTGTCTTTTTCAAGCCTTTTTCCTGCTTTTGTTCCTCTCATTTTTGACTGAAAGCCCCATCGTCATTACTCTCACCTGTGTTTCATCGTATAATTAGGCCCGCCAATTTAATGCAGTTTCCTTGTATTAAAATATCTCTGGGATTAAATGTTAAGTTAAAGGTAGTAACTTTCTTTAAGCTGACAGAAAGAGTCTGACCCCTTTGAGATCAGGTACGCTGTATGTGACCCACAGTGTAGTATAAGTTTGACATCCCTGGTTTAGATCCAGTTTGTAGTCTGGATGGGAGGAGTCATTTATGGTGTTGTGAGCCTTCTTCGAGCTGTTATTCCAGGGTATGTTGAGAGTGGAGGAGAGCTGGGCATACAAGATGCCCAGCTCTCTGTGATGTGGACTCATAGAAGCTTAAAGATAGCACTAACAGCTGATTGTTGTACATGTAGGACCAAAGAAATTTCACAAACTAACTTGTTGCAACTGTTGCATCCTATCACACTATCACACTCAAATTCAGTGAGCTCTTAAGAACAACCTGTTCATTCACAAACAATATGTTATAAAGGGAGACTGCATGGCTTGGTACTACATTTTACACACCTATGGCCACAGGACTGAAAACATCTAAATTCAAAGATTTAAAGAGTTTGGCCTAATACTTTCTAACTAAATGGTGACACCGTCACATCTTTTGTAAACATCCAGCTCTTTCTTAGAATGAAGAGCAACCTGTTTATGACCACATGGTACAAGGAAATGTTGCCTCTTTTATACACTTACCGAAATCCACATTGCACATTCCAGTCATTGTTTCTCTCTTGTTATGTAATGCCATTCGATTTTTTTGTTTTTGTTTTTTAACCATCTGGGTTCATGTTGCTTAAGCAAAAGTTATTTTAGTGATACAACAACAAAGCAGATACTGTATGCCATAAACAGTATAGAGTGAGAATGCATGTCAATGTTATTTAAAAAACACTACAAAAGGGTATGAATGTGTGTGTGAATGGGTGAATGAGGCATGTTTCATAAAGTGCTCTGAGTGTGCAAGTGGAGCAGAAAAGTGCTGTATAAAAACAGACATTTATGTATTATTATGTATTATATAATTGTCCCTTTTTGTTTTATTTAAAATCTTCTTTCAGATGTAACTGTTTTCTGTTTTCAAGACCGCAACAAAACGAATGTCAAAAACTGACCACAGGGCGATATATCAAACTAAAACGTCTTAAATCCATTTCTGAGGCTGGGACAGACAGTGCGTTGCATGTGGATTCATGAGCATGAGCCAACAAAAATGTCACCACAGACTAAGGCACTGCAAACTGACAGAGCATAACAGAGATTTTTATACAGACACCTTTTGGAAAGAAGTTATTACTGCAACAGATCTCTCTAGCGATTGACTTTGGAGCTGTACATAGCTGGTTCCACGGTAAAAGGGTGACACCTATTGGTGAAAGTGGGTAGTGCAGCGGGTTCAGTACAGTGAGTAGAAAGAGAGAATTTGCTACTCTCCGGGCCATTTATAAAATAAGCACAACTTATGAAATCCAGTAGTTTTCAAATACAATGAGCTGCTGTGATATGCTGTGGCAAATAAAACCACTTTTGCTCTGTTTTGACGTATTTTCGTATGATCATTACGCACCACTTTGATGGAGTAATTATGTGGATGCCTAAATATTAAAAAAGCCGCCATAACTGAGGTTGAACTGAGGGAAAAACTCACTAAAAACAATTGTTACAGTGATTTTTAACAGTAGGTACAAAAATGCGTGATTTAAAATGACAGGTTGCGTGGTTGCTATGCGTCTCCAGGTTCTATTTGCATTGCATCTTTTGGTATAGTTCAGACAGATTTCACTCGGCGTGTTGTGCAAAGCTACAAGGGATTTCTGAAAATTTCTGCAAAAGTAAGACAACTTTCTGCTCAAGACTTCTTGCAGCCTTACAAGTGTCCAACTCCCATGTCACGGAGGAAAGCGACCCAGCAACCATCATCCATCATGGAAAATGTGAGATTTTATGACCGTTTTCAATAAGTTTTGAATATTTACTCGACGGCCAGAAAGAGTTCACTTTGCAACAGGGCAACATGAAAATATAGACGACATAAATGTGGATAAAAAGCATTAAAACTTAGCCTGTGCATGTGGGAGTTATACTTGCATGTTAGACTGTTGCACTGTAGCTGTAAACGGGTAAACTGTGCATAAAGTCATTTAAACTAGTATGTTACCTATAATAAGTTTTCTTTTGTGTGTATTAAATGATCTTGTGGCAGACATGTCACCAAAGATTGCAGCTGGGATAAAAATGTTCAGTCTTTGCTAATAAGTAGAGTATCTTACATCTCGAATTAACTCAAGTGCATAATGATCACCAGGCCTGTTTCTAGCTTTTTTGGGGGGCGGGCGGGGGGGGGGGGGGGGGGCTGTGCATGTTCCTGATTGGGGGCCTTTATTTTGTATTTAAAACTAAAATCAGGGAATAAAACAAGTAAACACTGAGACTTTATTCACTGTAGAAAAGCTAATCCCCAAAATGTTTATTTACAAATATGCAAGCCATGTTCTGCAGCATCATCTGAATTTTCAAATGTACACACACTGTCACATGTTTACAGGAGCCACATGTAACTGTGATCATCTTTAAAATCCTCAAAGCTTCTGCTTTTGGGCTTTTTTAACTAAAGTTTTAATCTCCTTCTTCATTGTGGCTTATGCTACAATTATTCACCTGACAAGACAGTCACCTCTGGGTAGAGGTCCCTCATTACACCACAGCCTAATGATGATCTTGAACTCATTACCCCCCACACACAAGGCAGGGCTCTCCTATTATTGCAGCTTGCTTTTCTTTATATCCTACACGTAATTTTAAACCATATAAGTGCCACACGTGACCAAGCTTGGCCAGTTACAAAGGTATTTTGTGCATCTGCATTGTTCAAAAACGGCAATAAGCAGCAATGATTATAACAGAAATTAGAGTTTAATACAACATGGACTTTTGTGTTTGTTTAGCTTATGCAAATTATTATTTGACATGTCATTTGGGGGTATGCAGCAGTGAAGCTCTAACACGACGAGCCCATAAGTTGACACGTCTTTTATTACACTGACCTTGATGCATTGTCCTGGTTTTAGTTCTTATGATTTTATGTGAACATGTTGGATATTTTTTGTCGTTACAATCACTGTGGACAAGTTATTCAACCATGCAAGTGGTTTAAGTAGTTTATGGACATATGAAAGGGTTTGTTATTTTTTAAATATTTCATGAACTACTAACTGATGTCTGCATTACTGTCATTTTTGTGTATACCTGCAGCTTACGGTGCCTCACCTCAAAGACCATAATTATTGTAAGAGAAACACTGCATGCCAGGCCCGTGATGCAAAGAAACCCAGAGCCAGCAGGAAACAACCGTGCTGCAGCAAGGACCAGGTTGGATGTGTAAAATTTCAGGAACAGAATCATTTGAGGGTTTTGAAGTTTGGACTTCATTGTGGTTCATCAAATTTAGATTTTTGTCTTGTTTGAAAAAAATGAGGTCGCTATTAACTACTGACATTCCCTTGTGTGCTTCTGACCTTTCCCAGGTTGTTAATTCAACCCAGAGGCCCCGGCGCCGTGACAGAACAGTCAGTCAGCCCCGGAAAAGGAAGCGAAGCCCAGCATCCAGTTCTTCCCGACCTCCAAAGACCTCAGTGCCTCCCTCTGCAATCTCCCATGATGACCTGCCAGTGTCAAAAAAATTGCCCCCCAGACCCGAGCCATGCATTACTGACCACCAGCCAACCAGCTCCAGTGACAGCACTTTAAAAATCTACAACTTCTCAGTGGAAGATTATCAGCGAGTCTACCATGAGGTGGTAGATAGCATGCTGACGTACGTTTGTCTCCAAATGTCCTGTCACTTTTTTAAATCGCCAGCTCTAAAATGGTTACAGTATGGTTTTTGACCACATGCATCATTTTGATTGAATTTCTTCTTGCAGGTCCAAGCATGGCCGCAAACGTCCCTACAGTTTAGAGCTGGGGAGAAGCATTAAAAAAAAGCTGTGGGAGAGACTGAATCGTCCTATGGTGGAGACATCAACCAGCGAGGACGGACTTGAAGAAATTGACATTGTGTATGGGCAAAAAGTCAAAATCCCACAATATGATTTTGACATTTCGAGTTAGCCAAATCCTCAACATCCACCGAGCAAAAGAGCAAAGGAGAGGTGAATGTAGAGCAGCAGGGCACTGCTACAAAACATATAACATATAACCCATTTTTAAACTCTGTTTACTGCAGCCTATTTAACAATATAAGCAACTATATAAAAACATAAAAAGAGATCTAGACATAAAAAAAACACGCAAAAAGTGATTGGCATACGATCACTTTTTGGCACATCAGTGCAGCGAGGTTGTAATTGCTGCTTGTAACCATCAGGGGGCAGTATCGCTAGATTGCAGTCTTGGAACCTGTAACGAGAATCACCCTTCATTATCATTAGAGTTACATTGCGCCACACAATATGAATATGATAAAGTCCTAGTATATGTACAAATGCTATGAAGTGAAGTTTTAAATAATACCGTTCGCCCAGTTAGTTTTATTTTTCTTTCACTGCTCGCTTGTTTTGATGACGTCAAAATCGCCTTTCCGCTTTCATTCGCGGCAGTAAACATGGCGGACAGTTAGCGAAGCCACGGTGTGATATTCAATCCTGGGGGGTTTGGATTTCTCTTTCAGGACGTACGCAAAACGTGTTGCATTGCTTTTGGCACACGGAGGTGTGCGTGTGTGTAGGGCGTTGTGCCCTGTGAGTTTTTACTGAACAAAAGGTACAGTGAATTTTTCCCTCCTGTGCTGCTTTCGTTGCTAACGCGGGCCTAGCTATAAGTGCAAGCTAACGTTAGCCGCTAACCTGCCAGGCAAATGCTTTTGACCGGCATGATTTAACATATGTATGTATGTGTTACAAATGTTTGATTGGCTCTGTGGTGTTTATCAGCTCATTCAATAGTTTAATTGTGCAAAGAGCTTAGATAGTTTGACTCGTGCGTTGATTGTCAACTTTCTTATCTTCTTTGCTAATAATAGCTAACAGTAAAATTCTTTAAGGCGTGTATTGTAGATAGTTTGGTTAAACTGCCTTGATATCGAAGTTAGAATTAACAAAAAGGAGGCTGCAATTTGTCAAAAATGAATTCAAACATTGTTTAAAGTCTCAGTGATTCATAAATATGAGCTAAAAGTGTTATTTTTAGGTTGTGACAAAATCCGACTTATTCTTGAACGTACCACAAAATAACAACGTAAGGTTTCCTTTACAAGTCACTTCTCTTCTGTTTTGCTGTATTACATGGCAGCGTGAAGGAGACCTACCGTCACAATGGGGCGACGTTCAACCTCCTCCACCAAGAGTGGGAAGTTTATGAATCCCACCGACCAGGCCAGTAAGTGCTGATAACAAACTGGCGCTAATTCAATCATGAATTGATCTGCTGGATATTGCTCAGTTGCTGATTAGATATAAAAATGGTCATTTCTTCCCCCCCTTCTACAGGAAAGGAGGCCAGAAAAAGGGAGTTAAAAAAGGTTAGAACCATTCACTTAAAAAAAAAAGATATTTCTAAATATGCAATACAGGATAACAATACTGTGATAATATGATGGTAACATCGTTTTCATTTGGAAATATTAGAACAAGAAGCAGAGGATGATGGTGAGAGCAGCAGTCCTGAAGATGAAGGATCCCAGACAGATCATCAGAGACATGGAGAAGCTGGATGAGATGGGTGAGATGACAGGGCAGAGTTTATGCAATTTAGATGTTAGAGATATATTTAGTTGTAACTATTTAGTTGTATGTTTGCCACTTGTAGAGGACCTGAGCTTGTGGAACACATGTATCAGTAGATTAATGCTATATATAATTAGTGTGTGTATTTAAGTATTTCAGGCCTTTAGGTAACAGCAGAAAATCACAGTCAAAATCTGAATTCTACAATTAATTTGCTGCTTTTCTAATGAAAATAATTACTTTGTTTCTGAACAGAGTTCAACCCAGTTCAGCAGCCGTTGCTGAATGAGAAGGTGTTGCGGGACAAGAGGAAGAAGTTGCGTGAGACATTTGAGCGCATTGTTCGTCTGTACGAAAGAGAGAATCCTGAAACCTACAAAGAGCTACGCAAACTTGAACTGGACTATGAGACTAAAAGAGGGCAGCTGTCTCTTTATTTTGACTCAGTCAAGGTGTGTTGGAAACTACATGACAGTTTTGGGGGGCGGGGTTCCTCAGTTTATAATAATTCTTGCATAAATTGATGCAGGAATGAGAGGTATATTGTATGCACATTGTCCTACAGGCTTGTGTACGCCTTGTTGGGCTGCAAAAAAATCTTAAAAGTCAGGATTATGAATATTTTGGGGCAGACACCAAAACCCATTACTCGTCTTTTATATGTCTTGAGCTTGATTGCTTCAGATGTGTGCTCCATTACCTTATTTATCCTTTGTTGTGCTCTCTGTTTACTCTGTTGTGTGATATTTCCTCTTTTTCAGAATGCAGAGTTGGTGGAGGTTGACAGTATCCCTCTACCAGACATGCCTCATGCCCCATCCAGTATCCACATCCAGGACATCCCACTACCAGGGGCTCAGCCTCCCTCCATATTGAAGAAGAGCTCCACTTTTGGGTAAGACTCATTCAATGAGTAGTAAAAGTTTCAGCAGTTAAACTCCGTATGTGACATTTTAGAATTTTAATGGGCAGTTGAGTTAATTCTGTTTTTATGCATGTCTTAGTAAAGGACCATCGTCCTCCGGACCAGCATTGGCAACAGTGCCAGGTGTCCCACGCTTACCTCCAGGGAAGAAGCCCCCTGGGCCTCCACCTGGCCCCCCACCTCCTCAGGTCCTGGCACTGTATGGACCTGCTCGACGCGGTTACGGCACAGATGCAGGTGAGATACAGCCAGTTTCCCTCTGATAATCAAATGATTTTTTTCCACCTATAATTTAACATTTCTTCTTGTTACACTATTTCTCCTTTGAACAGAGCCTTCCATTCCTGGATTTGAAAAGGACTCTGCAATGGATTTGGGGAGAGATCGGGACAGCGGGAGTGAGAGCGACAGAGATCAGGACGATATTGATGACGACAGCGACTCTGAAGACATCAGTGAAGAAGAGAGAGATGAAGGGGGAGATGGTGAACAGAGAATGCGCTTGGACAGGCAGGACGATGAGAGAGAACGAGAAGAAGATAGAGACAGAAGTGAAAGACATGGTGGTGAGTGTTTCTGACTGCTTCAACACATTTAAGCCTCAACTCACGTCTTTGTTGCCTTTATTTATCTCTTGATCTTATAACTGTTTGTATTCTGTTGTATTCCTGAATTTGTTATTATTTAACTACTGCAGGTCGTAGCGTACGTTTCGCAGATATGCCTGCAGAGGCACCCCGTGAAGGAAAAAGGAAGAAGAAGAGGGTTGTGAAGAAGACCAAGGCCATTACACCTCTGCAAGCCATGATGTTAAGGATGGCAGGTACTGTTAGTGCTAAGCACTTACTAAGCTAGTGCTCCTCACAGTGTCTTTTCTTTGTATGATGATATGCTATGCCATTTTTATTTGTTCATTTTTTGTCTTCAGGTCAGTCAGTTCCTGACGAGGAGGAAGAAGAAGAGGTAGAGGAAGAATACACAGATGAATCAGACAGCTCTGATATCGAGGACAGAGGCCCTCCAGGGGACAACCAGTCCCATCTCATGGCCAATCAGCGACTACCCCCTCCAGCTGGGACCACGGGACAGCAAGGGCCTCCACACATGCAAGGGCCGCCGATGACAGGACCTCCACCACTTGGTCCACCTCCGGCACCACCAATGAGGCCTCCTGGTCCACCATCTGGCCCACCTCCTGGCCCCCCACCAGGTTCGCATTCTGATTAGCTAAAAGATTGATTGCTTCAACTCTGAAGTCATACTAGAATAATTTCCTGTGCCTGTTCTGTGGGGGTCTTCTACTTCTCTAAGTGTGAGTGCTCTGCATCGTTTTTTCAAAGAGATCTTCTGTTATCTTCAGGTGCTCCTCCGTTCTTGAGGCCTCCTGGCATGCCTGCAGGAATGAGGGCTCCAATGCCTCGGCTTCTGCCTCCTGGGCCTCCACCAGGTCGACCACCTGGTCCTCCACCAGGCCCCCTCCTGGCCTTCCACCAGGCCCTCCACCACGTGGTCCACCTCCCAGATTACCACCCCCAGCACCACCAGGTAGGCACGTGTGTGGAGGCAATCTAAAGATATAAAATAGTGAGAACTTCTGTTGAATGCATTTCTCATTTATGTTTTTTTTTCTCCTTGTAGGTATCCCGCCTCCTCCCCCAAGAGCTGGAGGGCCTCCGCGTCCTCTTGCACCACCTCTGTCTCTCTTCCCTCCACCTCTCAATTCCAATGTGCTGAGTGCTCCTCCAAACATTGTTCAGCGACAAAAAGGCTCAGGATCCAGCCAGGACGGTTTACAGACCAACCTGCAACCCCCTGCCATGCCCATGCGACCTGGTGTCATGCAGATGCCCCCTCCGCCTGGGACAGCTGCTGCCTCCACAGGCACCAATCCGGGCAGCAATCCCCCCAGCCATCACCACCCTCCCACCATCGAAAAACGCGCAAACATCACCTCTGTCGCAGCTGCAGGAGGCAACCTGGCAGCAGGTGCCGGTGCAGGCGGGGCTACCATCTCTGCCAAACCTCAAATTATCAATCCCAAGGCAGAGGTGACCCGCTTTGTGCCCACAGCGCTGAGGGTGCGTAGGGACAAGGTTGGAACAATGCCAGGAGCAGCACCTGGGCCCATGGAGAAAGCAGGGGGTTCTGTTGGAGGAAGGAGGGGAGATGAAGGTGTGGGAGGAGGCCAGTGGCAGAAACAGCACAGCACAGCAACAGCTCCTATGGGCGTGGCCAATCCATCACAGATGGGTGCTGTGTCTCAGCCCAACATGAAGACTAAAGACCAGGTGTATGAAGCCTTTATGAGGGAGATGGAGGGACTCCTCTAAGACTCGGGAGCGTACTGCCGATAATGATGATCAGTGTGGCAAGCTGAACAACAGCAGTGTGTTTGTTTTGTGTTTTCTGTGCAGAGTTATAGAGGTAGCCGTCTTCAAACTTTCAGCTAGAATCAGTTTGTCTGTCACCTACCAGTGAAAGGCCACTACACCCTCAGCTTTGTTCTCTACAGGCTCATATTCATTTGATCTGGGTTAGATTTTTGTTGCATCAACAAGAATGTGCATTTCAAAAAGAGTAAGAAATCTGTTTATTTTACTGGGTAACTTGCATAGTCAATTCAAGAGAAGAACACTATGCTCTGCACAGAAGTGCTTTTTCACATCCAGCATATTGTTTTGTTTTTTTTGTCTTGTTTTTTAACTCTGAAATTGTTTTTCTTCCAACCACCTGTTTGCAACTTGACCTTAGAAGCAATCTTGTATTACTTTTTTCTGTTTTTTTTATTGCAGATCTCCTAACATAAAAATAGTTATAGAATGTTTTCCAACCACTGACAACGGTAAAAGTGTAAAACTGTTTGATCTTCAGCCAAATAAAAACTCAAACTGGTTTAATCTTGTTTCAGTGTGAATCAATCCGCGACAGAAATTCCCATGTCGTATTTTTAGCCAATCACTGGCGTTTTCGGTCGTAAACACAAACTTCCATCATCCACTGCGGCTTAAGCTCGAACTCGTTTCCGCATCTGCGCAGTGCGGAACTGACGACACGTTGGGGCGAAAAGCATGGCGGACGAGGAGAGCGTGAAGCCAAACACATACGAAACACTCGAAATTTCGAGCAGCGATGAAGGAAGCGATCACGGTGATGGCGGAGAAAACGACGAGACGGTGAAGAGCTTCAAGGATCTGGTAGGTTTGCTTCAGCGAGTGAAGGAAAAGAGTCAGGCACATTAACACGGAGAGACCACTGCTGTTCGAGTTAGCTACAACTCCGCTGTGTTATGTAAACCTCATTTTATCCTTTTAAATATGAATGGGATATGTCTGTGAGACATATACGGCGCTAGTACACAATTACGATCGTGTTACAAAGATTTCTACCTTTTGTCTGCTTCCGACAGGGTGTTACTGATGTCCTATGCGAGGCTTGTGATCAGCTGGGATGGAAGAGCCCCACGAAGATCCAGATAGAAGCTATACCGGTGGCTCTGCAAGGTGAGAAATCACGCTTACCTCTTTCTGTCAGTTTTACTCAAGTAACAGTACATGATCACACGGAACAACCATACGCACATTTTTGGACATCAGGAAAAATACAACCCTTCTGGAATAAAATTCTTTTCGCTCTGCGGGAAATATTTAGTTATGTAATTCCAACGATTGTTTCAGATCCTCTACTTGGATCATCTTAGAGGCCATTTGCGTCCATGCTGTTTAAGTCCCCTAAGGTTTTAAACAATGAGCTGTAGACAATGGGTGGTTGTTGTTGAGGAGATCCTTGTGATGGACAAACTCGCATACAGACAGAAAAAGAAAGAAGAAAACTTTCTACAAGACTGGGACAAATGTTTATTATACAAAGTGAAGAAAGGACATGAATAAATTGAATTATTAAAAGAGGCAGATTTACTCCGACACTACCAGCCCCTGAATGCTCAAATATTCATGAACTTGTTTTTATATGTTTTTGTATGGCTACTTTTCAGCTTTGTTTTGGCATTAGCATAGCCACCATTTGTGCATCATTGTACTAGACCATCAAAAAAACAAGTTGAAGTAACAATGACAGCAAATATCCTGTTAATCAGAGATGATGGGCTAAATGCATGGCCCAGGGATTTGAAATCTGAAATCTCAGCAGAGGATTGGAAATCAGTTTGTGCTCAAATTCATACCGTGATTACACACCTCATATCTGTACGTGTAACATATGAAACTTCTCCATATTTCTCTGTGAATCATTACGATTTAACATGGACTGAAGCTAAAGGAGCAGCGCTTCAGTCTGAATCTCAGGACTTGTTTAAATCTCTAAAGGTTAAAGTGCGTAACATTTCTTGTCTCCTTGTGACCTGCAGGGAAGGATGTTATTGGCCTGGCGGAGACTGGTTCAGGAAAGACCGGTGCCTTCGCTCTGCCTATCCTCCAGTCGTGCTGGCCTCCCCCAGAGGCTTCACACACTTGTTCTCACCCCCACTAGAGAGTTGGCATTTCAGATCTCTGAGCAGTTTGAGGCCCTGGGCTCCAGTATCGGCGTTAAGTGCGGTACGTGTCCTTGAAAGGTGAGGCGGCTTGCAGTAGTGCGGGAGGCTCTGTGCTCTAAATCCGTCTGTCTTCCGTTGCAGCCGTGATAGTTGGTGGAATCGACATGATGTCCCAGTCCCTGGTGTTAGCGAAAAAGCCGCACATCGTTATTGGTAAGACTTTACCTTTAAGAACGTTGCATATTTTTCACACTTCACACGTCTGCTTATGTTCACCCACTGTTGTAATGTTTGTATCCTTTATAAACTGATTTTGATGATATACTTTTAAGTAAAAAAATCGTTTTGTTTTTTTTCTAGCCACGCCCGGTCGTTTGATCGATCACCTCGAGAACACAAAGGGCTTCTCTCTACGAGCGCTGAAGTTCCTGGTCATGGATGAAGCAGACAGAATCCTCAACATGGACTTCGAAACTGAGGTCAGTAGCTTCCTATTGGTAGGAGACTCACTATAGCACCTCAGCCACATCCTCCTCAGTGTGCTGTTAAATGGCAGGCTCAAAGGTTATTGATGAAAGCATTTTAAAGTGAATGTGACAACCTTTATGGCAGTTTAAATCCAAAAAGTGAAATTTACCTAAACTTCGCATTACTGGCCGTAAGCTGGTAAAAACCCAAGTTGACGTATATTTTTTTGGTTGACAGTGGAGCATTTTGAAAGATTACAAATAGCTGATAGGCTGAGCTTTAAATTAAAAACCTGCTGGCTACGGGCTCCACACCTCCAACGCCTCAGGCTAGATTTGCGCCTGTGACGTGTCCATTTGTGAAGCTCTTTGCCTATAAACAGAGAAGGTTTTCGAGAATTTAACCTGTACAAATTTCAAGAAGCATGTAGCTCATGTAAACTGTCATTTTTATACCTATTATTATTTATTTTTTTACCAGGTGGATAAAATCTTGAAGGTGATCCCAAGAGAAAGACGCACTTTCTTGTTCTCGGCTACCATGACCAAAAAGGTATCTTTGTGTTCTTCTCTCTTTGTTGACTCTAGATGACGGAGAATGTTAGTCGCGTTTCTTTTAGCCGTCCTTGTCCTGCACATTATGGGGGACAGTAATAAGCAGCTGCCAGAGTAGCCTTTGCCTGACCTTCTGTCATATGTTTACAGGTCCAGAAACTAGAGAGAGCAGCTTTGAAAGATCCTGTGAAGTGCGCGGTGTCTACGAAATACTCCACAGTAGACAAACTGCAGCAGTACTACATCTTTATACCATCTAAGTACAAGGTAGGGTGCACACGTGTACATGTGCTGACCATGTGCTGACAGTTGTGTTTGTGACCTGCTGAAGCTGTTTTATATTCAGTAAGTTTAGCTCTTGGTTTTGCCAACAGGACTGCTACCTGGTTTCCATCCTGAACGAGCTGGCCGGGAACTCCTTTATTATTTTCTGCAGCACGTGTAACACAGCCCAGCGGGTGGCGCTGTTGTTGAGGAACCTCGGCATCACTGCTATCCCTCTACATGGGCAGATGAGTCAGGTAAAGCTTCAGAGACTCGGTTGAGTATAAGGATTTAACCTGAGATGTTAGCATTCATTATAGTGCCTGCTGCTCTGTCAGCATTACCTACGCATACTATAAAACCCTGTAAACAGTTTGGTTTACGATCACACTTGCAACACATGCTAAAGTCATGCTTAATTAACTTTACATGCAAGTTAGTGTACTTTTTGTACCATTTGGAAACATCTGGAAGTCATTGTCATGGTCTGCAGTTTACCATAAGCAGTCTACAATCAAATCTACATTCAAATCAGGCTGCAGTTCACTTAAATGTTTGAATAGAGCTCTTTGCACCATCTAAGATGCTGTTTTTGTAGACCAAGAAAAATTTCTTTCACTCATGAATGAAAGTGAATGTTGACCAGCTTTGGTCCCGTTTGGCTGGATGTCAGCCCTCTTTCTGGTTTTGTGGCATTACAGCAAATGTGACCTAATGTATGATATGAGTTGTGTGTAAATATGCACACAGACATTTATCAAATGGAGTTTTTAGGAAGTGAAAGTTTTCCCTTTTTCTTTCTGGTGGATACTGTGATGTGATCTGGATCTTCCTTCCTTCGCCGTGCAGAATAAACGTCTTGGAGCTCTGAACAAGTTCAAGTCCAAGTCTCGGTCGGTGCTGCTGGCGACTGACGTGGCATCCAGAGGACTGGATATTCCTCATGTCGACTGCGTCATCAACTATGACATTCCCACTCACTCTAAGGTACCGAGGCGCTGATAATCATGTTGGTGGTGCGTTTGATGATTTATTTCACTTCACCGATGAGCTGATCTGTGGATGTGTTTGATCCTACAGGACTATATTCACAGGGTTGGCCGAACAGCCAGAGCAGGACGATCTGGAAAATCCATCACTTTCGTCACTCAGTAAGAAGGGCCTTTTTATTGTCACCAGTCATTCCATATACAATAACATCTCTGCTTTGTTTCCACTTATTGCCATTTTTATACCATTTTGACATGGTTGAGTAAGTTGTGCAATACTGTGGTTTGGAGAGGAAGGTCACTGCAGCAAGTAAATGTGTCTGGTGTCCATATAACCATAGGTATGATGTGGAGCTTTTCCAGCGAATTGAAAGCTTGATTGGGAAGAAACTTCCAGCCTTTCCAACCCAAGAGGAGGAAGTGATGATGCTGGTGGAGAGGGTGAGCGAGGCCCAGAGATTTGCCAAAATAGTAAGTCATCCTGTCTTTATTGTGTCTTTTCTCTGTATTTGTCAGGTATAGCCTAAAATTTGAAGAAGAAAAAAACATGCTGTGTGAAAACAATGGTGCATAAACCCGTCTGAGCCTGCCTGGCCAATGCATCAGTATTTAGTGGTATGTTTCTACATGAGGTGATTTGAGCTTTGTGACACAGTGTGTTATCCTCTTGAAATCAGCCATCAGAAGATGGATACAGCATGGTCATAAACAGATGGACATGATCAGACAGGCTGTGGTGTATGAACAGTAAACAGTTGGTGCTAAGGATCCCAAACTGTGCTGGAAAAATATCCCCAAAACCATTACACCACCAGCAACCTGAGCTGTTGATAAAATGTCGTTTATGCCAACTGTTACCATCCTATCCAATTGTGGCAGCAGAAATCAACACTCATCACACAAGGCAACATTTTTCCAATCTTCTGTTGTCCTTCTGTTTCATGAGACCATGCAGCTTCTAGCTTCAGTTCCTTGTTTTTAGCTGACCGGAGCAGCACTCTGTGTGGTCTTCTGCTGCCGCAGGCCATCTGCTTCAAGTTTCGAAGCAGATGACCAGAGAACTGACCACACTGGATATTTGCATTAACAGGCAGGTGTAGGTGGTAAAGTTGTTGGGGAGTGTAATGATTTAAATGTA